ATATGGATGGGGACGATGTAGATCAGTTATGTAGCCACAAATTCATGGCCAAATGACCTGTATACCCGTTACAGGACAGTCCTTGAGCCAGCGGGGACCACTGAGTGTATTATTTCACATTTCTTTAGGGAAAGGTGAGTGCTGCTGCCAAGATCTGTTTTTTGAGGCTTAGTTAGAGACTCAGGACACTTGAGATCAGTAATCAGTATGAGGATGCTGACATACAAAGAAGGAAGTGAGACACTGTAAGGAGAGGCTAAATTAACTTTTAACTTTTAAATTAACTAACTAAAACAACTTCTACGTTATGTGTTAAGCATTCAGCAAGGAGTTTTATGTATCTTGTTTTGCTTATTTGACAACACTCTTACGTAGAGGTTATTATTAATCTCCTTTTACAGAAAGGGAGACTGAGGCTCAAAGACACTGGATAATCTGTCCAGGTAATTAAGTGGCAAATGGCAGAGCAAAGCTTCAAAGCCAAGTGTATCTTACAGTGTAGCCCTTCTTCCACTTTAGTGGCTCCTCCAGGGTCACATCCCTGCTAATCACAGTCTCTGCTTATTCTCAGTACTATTTAGAGGAGAAATAATTTGGAGGAACAACTAAAGCTCTATAGCAATATAAGAAAATCTCTCATAAGCATTTAAACATAGTTTTTCTTTTTTTTTTTTTTTTTGCGGGGGGTGGGGAGGGCAGGAGAGACTTTTTTCCCCTTCCAGCTCTTCAGTTTTCCAGGGTAAGATACTTTATGTCTTTGTATTCCTCCACCAAACCTAGTGTCTGCCATATAAGAACCATATGTTGTGCTCTGGTTTGGTGAATTTGACTAGGCTGGCATAGCAGCAGTGTGGGTGTCCCTCAGTGATCTTTCTTCCATTTGTACCTAGCAGAGGGATGCTGTTGTGGCTACGTCTTCAATTTTAGCAGATGGATAAGCCATTTTATTTGCAGCTCTGTTTTTTGGTTGCTTTTCCGACTCTGTGAAAATTTTACTTGTAATATATTTCAAAGGAAACGGTATGAGCAAATCTTGCTCTTTAAGCCACTGAGAAGATTAAATACTGTGCCGTACCTTGCTTTAGTATTTGATGACATGTCAAGTCTTACTTAATTAGACTTCCAAGGGAGCCACTGTGTTATATTCCTTTACTATATTTTTGGCAAATATATTGCCTGGATTTGAGAGTTTTGTGAGTTCTTCTAACTTTAACCTCTGTTTTTCTCTTTTTGATTTCTTTTTCCTGTATGTGTAAAATTCCAACCATGTTAGTATTACAACTTCTTTTATTTTCAACTTTGCTTCCTGTGGCTTTTTTCAGGACAGATTCAGCTAGGTAGTGTTGTTGGACCAGTTATCCTACTCTTGTCTTTTTAACCACGTCACCTTCATTACTGCCATTTGAGCTCCTTCATCTCACATTCCCTCTACCTCTATAAGAGAAGCCTGTGCCAGGCAGCGGTTAGGGTATAACTAAACTATTCTCTTAAATGATCATTGGGCCAAGGAAATACCTAGAACTTTGTTCTCCAAAATAACCTTCCTTGAAAGCTTAGCTTACTGCTTTGCCATGCAGTCTGGTTCTGGGACCAACAGCATCAGCATCACCTGGAAGCCTGTTAGACATGCAGAATCTCAGGCTCCATCCCAGACCTACTGAGCCAGAATCTGCATTTTCACAGCTCTAAATAAGTCATCTTCCATGGATTGTCTTCTCACTAAGGGAATAGAATATTAGAACCCTTTCATTCTGTAGGAAGACTGATAAAATTTTTTTTTATCATATCCATTTATTAGTCTTTGGACAATACTTCTGTTGTTTTTAGTGATAGGAACAAATGGACATGCTCGAAAATGAATTTCTTTGCTTAACCATATGAGTGAAACTAGGACTTTGGGAAGAGTTTGGATAAGTTAGTTGATAGACTGCTAGCAAGGAAGGATTCAAATAGCAACCATCATCACTATTTTAGCAGATGGATAAGCCATTTTATCCATCCAAAGAAATGGGTGGAGTGGTTCTGTGGAAATGATATTTGATTCAAGTGATATTTATATTTTTCAAATTTTTACTTTCTTATACCTCTCCAGCAGGCAACTAAACAAAAGGGTTATATATAAGCTAAAATAAGAGACATGTAGAAATTGCTAGAGAAGGGCATCATGTTTGGTAAAGTAGAGGGCCAACGAAAACAAAGGAAACCTTCAATAAGATGACTTGGTGCAATAGCTGCTCAGACAATGGGCTCAAACATACCAGTGATCATGACAATGGTACTGGACTGAGCATTGTTTCTTTCTGTTATACATAAGGTCGCCATGATTTGGAGCCAACTCGACAGCACCTAACAAAAACAACAAACATGTAGAGGACCTTACTTCTTCCTTCTTTGTGTTTCTACCCCATTGTGGAAATATTAAGGAGCTCTTGTGGCACAATGGTTAAGAACTCGGCTACTAACTGAAAGGTCGGTGGTTCAAATCCACCAGCTGCTCCGTGGGAGAAAGATGTGATAGTCTGCTTCCGTAAAGATTACAGCCTTGGAAACTCTATGGGACAGTTCTCTGCCCTATATATGGTCGCTATGAGTCAGAATCGACTCAATGGCAATGGGTCAGGTGGAAATATCACTTATTAAGGGGGGTTCAGTGATACTACAGGTCATATCCCAAAGTAGAATTACAACTGTTTTTTCCTAAGGAAAGTTTCACTGTACCCCTGAGCATTAGAGGGTCCACTGTAAGGGAAGACTGTGTAGCAGAATGGGTGTATAGTCAAGGAGGATGTGGACCACTTAGTGGTGAAGAGGGATGACAAAACTGCACGGAAGAAGAGTGTGAGGGTCTGAGTGGTTAGACTGATGCAAGTCCACTCTTAGGCCTCCCAGACCATCTTTGGTCTGCCCTCATTCTGTTCCTGTTGTTGTATTGGTAGGGGTCCTATCTGTGCCCCCCCTTTTTTTAACCCTCAGAACCTTTAAATGTACGGCTGATACTTCTAAGACTTAAAGATTTAAAGGAATAGAATTTGATACGGTATACTCATAGATTATCTAAAAGAGTTTCGCTCTCGCTCTCTCTCACGTACACACACACACACTCCCTTTGCCTAATGCAATGTCAGAGAACCTGATCCTCTGGGTAGGAAGTGATACTGGCTATCTAAATGCAAAGGGTTAGAAAACGTGTTTTTCCAGACTCTGACCCAACCTTGCTTCAGTGTAAAAGAATTTCTTTCCGGATGAACATTGGTTGTTTATTGATGCATTTTGATCCATAGAGTAAAAGTTTGCAGTTAGTAAGCTAGAAAGCCACTCATTCACATTTAACGTAAAATGGTGAGAATTTAGAACACACATACATTCAAGAACATTGTTCTCCTTTCCGTTAGCAACAGGGGCATCTGTTTAAACTGCACTCTGCCTAATGCTGCAGGCCTTAAGTGGGCCATCCCTACAATGAGCAGGTGCCAGGGACTTGAAATAGGAATGGCCTGGGCAGTGTTCCATTTCTCCTTCAGAAGTGTCTTGTGGTATTAAAACCTAACACCGGAAACAGATGGAAAGAGGACCTTGGGTTTCAAATCTTGTTTAAAGGATGGGAGTTGCTGGATCGAAAAAGTATCAGTTAAATGGATGAGGGAATGATGAAGGGAAAATGTATAAATAATGAAAATAGAAAAAGTGCTGAATTTCTCAGTGGAGACAACTTGGTAAAAAGCATTTTATGTGTGTGTGTATGTATATGTGTATGTATATATGTGTGTGTGTATATATATATATTTTTCATGTCAAGGTATTTTGGTCAAGTTACCTTAAACATAGGGTCTTCTTGGTAACTTGCAGATTAGGTAGTACTGGATATGCAGAAGTAGTGGCCCTAGTTGGAATATTCTGGTCAGATGACTTTTAGTTAACTCAAAAACTAGAAGCTCATTGTTATAGAAAATATTTATAAGATGCATATATGAATAAATACACTTTAAAGAAATCATAAATGTGCAATAGCATATATGAGGTTTCTTTGATGGGTTAGGTTTTTATTGTGGTGTTTGAACAGCACCTTGAAAGTGAGTTATGCTAGTCTGATACCTTTGATTGAAGGTTAGCATTAGACTGAAGCTTTATAGGAATCATCTGACAATAACTTAAAACAACAAACAAAAACCAATATGAACTTGCATATTGCAGAAAAATGTGGTTTATTGAAGGTACCCATGCGTTTTATTTCAAAGTTTGTTCTAGGTATTTATGTAAAACTTTTGTCTCAACAGCATTGCTTTCCACTGAGCGTTATTGTCCTCTGATGTTAATGTGGATTAAAAGATTAACTGATTTATCTATTGCAGGGCTTCTCAGAGCCTTTGCTAGTACTCATATTCCCTGTGACTCTTGTAGAGTGAGATGTAGAATCTGATTGTCTCAAACTTATTTTACTCTGCCCGGCGTCCTCCCCCTTTTTTGTCTTGATTGAGTAGCTACCATGGAAGATAGTTTGGGAAATGATGCTCTAGTGTTTTCATATATATTTTCTCATTTACCATCACAGCGTCCTGAGAAACAGGAACAGTTTTGTTGTCCCCTTTTGGATGAGGGAGGAACTAAGACCCACCAGAGTTCAGGCTGGCACTAGGACCCAGCTCTCCTAATAACTAACCCAGTCTTTTATCTCTCTGTCGAGGCCTTCAGTTCAGGTTGGAGGAGGCACTTAGTCATTTACAGCGGGGCTCTGCGTTGGAAGAACGGGGGGCTTTCTGGGTGATACACAGATCTCAAGTTCCTCTGGTCTGTGGCTGGTCCACAGGGTGCTCTGGTCTCCTGTGGAGAATGTTTTAATTCTAGCGAGTTGATTATGAGGGTGAGAGGTAGTCTTATGTAATGTTTTTGAAGTAATGATTTAGGCAGCCCCCTAGATGTGCCAAGACTCACAGGTACTCAGTTGTGTTTTGTTTCCCACTTTTCACCCCATGGTACTATGTCGTGCTTTGCTCTCATTACAGAAAGAAATTCAAGCCATGAGTCAGTGCAGCCACCCCAATGTAGTGACCTATTACACCTCTTTTGTGGTGAAAGACGAACTTTGGCTGGTTATGAAATTGCTAAGTGGAGGTAAGTGGGTTTTGTTGTTGTTGGCTTGCTTGCTTTTTTCCTTTTGTGGGAATAGCATGTTGAATAAGACTTTAAATTTGATCCCGTCCTGTTTTTAAAGTTTTGTTTGGTTTATCGTTGCCTATAAAATAAGTCCAGATATATCTTGCACTGGCATTCAAAGCCTTTCATAATCCAGCTTTCCTTCCCGGAATATTTGTGTCCTTTTCTCCATGTATTAAATACCCCAGCTGTCCTGGTCTCGGTGAGGCTCCTTAAACACCTTATGCGCCCGGTGCCTCTGAGCTCTCACCTGGGCTGTCCTCAGCCCTAGATGGCTCTCCCTTCCTTCTCCCTGGGCTCAAGTCCTAGAAGGCCGCATCCTCTCTGCAGCCATCTCTGACTCTCTTCAAAAGAGTTAACCAGCTCTTCCTCTTAAAACCTTTTTCTTTTTTGTTAAATATATTTTTAATTGTAAATATATGTGTAACAGAACATTTACCATTTCAGTGGTCTTCTTTATGTATAGTTCAGTGACATTAATTATGTTCATCATGTTTTTTAACTATCACCCCTATCCATTCCTAAATTTTTCCTTCATCCTTTTTGGAAGCTCTGTGTCCCCTAAACAATGAGCCCTCCTTTCCCCATCCCTCCCTTCTGCCCCTGGTAACCACTAGTAAACTTTAATCTCTGTACACTCGCCTATTCTAGATATTTCATATAAGTGGTATTGTACAATATTTGTTCTTTTGTGACTGACTTACTTCACTCAGCATAATGTTTTCAAGATTCGTCCATGTTATATGTATCAGGACTTCTTTTCTGTTTATGACTGAATAATATTCCATTGCATGTATGTACCACATGTGGTTTATCCATTCATCTGTTAGTGGACATTTAGACTGTTTTTACCTTTTGGCTATTGTGAAGACAGTGCTGCAGTGAACATTGGTGTCCATGTCTCTGTTTGCATTCTTGCTTTCAGTTAAACCCTTTGTTTTTAACATTATTCAAGTCATTTACACACTGCAATATAATGAATTATTTTAGTGCCTTTTAATTGAGCTTTTGTTTGATGATGGAAGTATTCTCTAACTGTGCTGTCCAGGAGCCACTGGTCACATGTGGCTATTGAGCACTTGAAATGTGACTAATGTGACTGAGGGACCGTATTCACTTTTAATTAGCTTGTGTTTAAATAACCTCACATGGCTAGTGGCTATGATATTGGACAGTGCAGATTTAGATTATGGACTTCATGAAGAAAGAACTACCTAATGTACTTCTAATTCATGAAGCCTGGCATCACTGGTGCTCAGTAAGTATTGGCGTCGGTTGAGATGGAGAGAATGCATGCTAAATTATTTGCTTTCAGTGTTGATTAAAAGTTAAACTATTTCCAACCTATTTTGTATTTGGGAAGGGAAAATAACATTGCCACTCTAGCTCCAGATGACTGAAGTTCCAAAAGCCAGTGACAATTGAATTTACAAGGCACTTTCACATCCCTTATTTTATTTCTTTTAATATCACTATAAGATAGAGAATGGTAATGATAACTCTTAACTTTATTGAACACTTACTCCATGGCTAGATACCATTTAAAGCAATTTACTTACCTTATCTCATTTAATCTTGACAACCACCCTGAATGGTAGGTGTCACCTTACCCATTTTTCAGAAACCCACAGTTCAGGGAGTTATGCAGCTTGCAAAAGGTCACACACATAGTAACTGTTAGTGCTGGAATTTGTGACTTTAGGACCTGTTGACTTAAAAACTGTTGTGCAGCAAGTATTATTGCCTTCATTTTACAAACCTGAACACTGAAGCTTAGAAAGCCCAAGTGATTTTCTTAGTAACACCCAGCATACCCACATCTTGAGTGTGTGCCTTTCCAGGGTGTCACTCCCTGTCTGTCTTTCTGGGACATGTAGTATGGTGTAGGAGCAGAGGATCATTCAAAGAGAGTATTTTGTGGTGCCTGGATAAAGCCAAAATTGGCATAGGAGAATTTATGTGACAGAGTCCATTTTAATCTGCAAACCCAATTTCAGCTAAGGCTGAATCAGGGAGGCATCAAAAAAAAAATTTTTTTTTTTTTCTTTCTTAAAGAAACTGTGTTCAATCAAGCAGAGGCCCAGAAATGAGATGACGAACACATTCTAATTGGCTTCGGTCTGCTTGTGCAGGTCTCTGTAGGGAGCCTGGGAGAGCTTAATTCTGTTCTGTTCTCAGTCTTCATCAGTCCTATTAGTATTAGTCATTGTTTCCTTGAGTACCTACTTTGCTTTTTAATTAAAAAGGAAAAGAGAGAGAAAAAAAAAAGGAAGTCTGCCAGAGCTGTTCTGCAGTATTGAGTGTCTGTACTGCTCATTCATTCTGTGGAGGATCATGCTTGGCCAACAAGATTGTCTTGACCTAGTCTCTTCTTGTGGGGCTTCACCAACTCTGAGGAAACAAATTCTGGTGATCTGGGACCCTGAATAACCCTAAATACTCCATTCAAGTTGAGGATTTTACTTCCTTTACTTGTTTTTATCCCAATCAAACTTTTACTTTTTTAAGTTTCAGATTATCCCCATCCCTTTTTCTGAGGACCTGATTTAAGATTTCATTGTCTTTTTAAAAGACTCCAATTTAGTCTCCCTGGGCTTTAGGTAAGAGGAACAGGTTTTGAACAGGTTTCCACAGGTAAGGTAAATGTGGGCAGATGTAGACTCTTGCTCATTTTTCTCTCAGCAGGCCAGAAATGCATACATGCCTTTCATGGTATATCCTTATAAAATAAAAATAAAATGTTCTTGGGAGTACTGTTTTCTAAATGATCCAAAATTCAGAAGTCAGTGAATAAAGAAGTTTTATGTCCCTTTGATGGGGGGACATATGCATTTGTTTTCTTCTACAACATTATATCACATGGAATCTCTTAATGAGGGGCAGGCAGCTACTCTGGTGTAGTAATATTGGATGGGAAAACTCAATCCTCTTAGTTAATCATAGAGAGCCTAGAGCCAAATTCGGGTCCTGAGGTAAGCCATTTGTTCACTCTTCAGAAATGCTGAACCCTAGATAATTATGGTTTTTAAAATGATCTGGAGGTTTGGAATATTAATTAATATGTGTTGAAACATGAATTCACGGTGCCAAGGATACTAATCTGTTTATAGTAACAATGTACTGAGTGTTTATTTCTTTTATTATGAAAGAATAATCAACCATCAGGTAAATGAAGATAAAGATTGCCTAGACTCACAGAAAGGAACCTTCTGGTTATAAGCTGAGATCTATAGGCAACATACTTTCTTTTTTTTCTCCTCCCACCTATATTTCAGGTGCTAAGGAAGAGCTGTACTCCCTCTTGGAGGTTTGCTGCTATCTTTCCTCCTGGCCTCCTACTCCTTTCCCTTTCAGTTCTGACACCTTGAATCATCTTTTGACTCTGTAACTAATTGTATGTCTAGGGAGAAGGGACCAACCTTGAAGTGGCCCAGAAAAATCTTCTGGGTTCCTGACCCAGAATCCTACTGATTGAATAAATGATCTTGCAAACTTGGATTTAGTGTTTCAGGTCACAGGGCTTGCCATACAATTGTTTGTATGCCTAGGGAATATTTGAGTTAAATAAACAGAAAATCTGTTTTGATATTCTCATTTATTTTTCCAAATAGTGGAGCTCTATTCTGGAAGGGTAACAAAGGTGCTTATAAAGTAACCCTTTCAAATCTTCTGTTTGTCCACGTAGGTTCAATGCTGGATATCATAAAATACATTGTCAACCGAGGAGAACACAAGAATGGAGTTCTGGAAGAGGCAATAATAGCAACAATTCTTAAAGAAGTTTTGGAAGGCTTAGACTATCTACACAGAAATGGTCAGATTCACAGGTGTGGTCTCTCAAGAGTGTTTAAATTCAGCTTTTTATGTGTATTGTCCTAGTTTATAAAGATTACTAATGAAACACATGCTACAGATAGGAATAGATTACTATATTTTTATGCAGACAACGCGTGCCTTCTGCGTTTGTTTGCTGGCCGTGCCCTCCCCTCTTGAGGCATCCTTGCAAGCACGCTATGCTAATTTTTCTTCACAGCAACATGTGAAAGAAAAAGCTGGCATAGTGGCACTTATGAAAGTACTTCATGAGGGGAGGGCACGGCCAGCAAACCAACACAGAAAGCGTGTGTTATTTGCATAAAAATATAGTAATACCATAGATGAGAGAAAAAGTAACCTAGGAAAGAAACAGAAGACTACGTTTTGATGAATTATATTGGTATCCTCAGGACTGGTTTACTTGCTTTCACTGCAATAAAATATAAAAAGTATAGCTTGTAAGTGGCCATCTAAGGCTCAACAATTGATCTCTATTCACTTGGAGCAACAGAGGAAGAAGGAGAATCAGGAATAGGAGGAGGATATGGAATGTGTGGCTAACTGCCTCCATGAACAGCTGCCTCCTTTGCCATGAGACCAGAAGATCTGGATGATGCCTGGCTACCATTGCTGAATGTTTTGATCAAAGTTTCTGTAGAAGAATCCTGGTCAAAAGGGGGAAAATGTGGATGAAATTTCAGATTTTTATGGACTTCAGACTTTCTGGAGTCATAAAGGGTGGGTGAACCCTTGAAACTATTGCCCTGAGATAGTCTTTAAAATCTTAAATGAAAAATATTCCCTGAAGTCTTCTTAAAACCAAATAGTAGTTTAGTTTAACTAGTAAAAAAGGTCTTCCTTGATCATTATACTCTTTTTAAGAGCTATTTATATGGGATCAACTTGACAACAGCAACTCAAAAGATTAGATAGGAACCTTAGGGGGTGGTGAGTTTATGTCGATGAGGGAGGAATAACTCAGAAAAGGAGGGTGAGAATGGTTGTACAACTTGAAGAATGTGATCAGTGTCACTAAATTATACATGTAGAAACTGTTGAATTGGTGTGTGTTTTGATTTGTACATTCTCAACAACAAACTGAATAAAATTTAGAAAAGTATAAGTGAATTCATTTAAAAAAATCAGTTGACATACTACTCTTGAAATGTATTCGGTTGTACTCGATAGCATCTCTGACTTTCTAACAAAGGCAAGAGTGTTCCAAACATTGTAATATGTTAATTTTTCTGACATGGTCATGAGAGGGAAGGAGGAAGCCCTAATTTCATTTTCTTTTGTGACATAAAATACTAGCTTTTAAAATAGCTAAGCAGCATAAAATATGGGTACCTGATGTTTCAATTGAGTCAATGCTACTTTACGCTCTTCAGAGTAGTTTTAAATAAATAATCATTTATCAGTAATACTATAATCCCATTATAGTATTATTTTAGTATAATAAAATTTATGATAATAAATCTGTGTCTGCCTAAAAGATAGACGTTACTATCACCATTTTAGAGGTGAGGAAACCGAGGATTATAGATGCAGTATGTGACTCAGACCTGACAGATTCCAAAACTTTTGTGCTTAGCTGATTACACAGAGTGCTTCCCCAGTGGCCTTTGAAACCAACTATTGTATTTGAGTAAATCTATAATTACTAAGGGGGAAGAACTATAAGTCGGCTGTATATTTAATGATACCTACTATTTTTTAAAATAATTATAAAGTGTATTACTTCAGAGATCAATCCTGTAGATTGTAAATTGTTGTTTTTCTTTAGTAAGTGTTAAAGATTACTCAGCACAGCTTCTGTAAAGAATATAATACAATACATTACATAATATTATGATTAGTATTACATAATCAGTATCTACCCAGAGATAATAGGGAGTGTCAGAGGAGAGATTTATCAATCCATTAAGAGGATGGTAGGATTAATTTGGAGTTGCAACTAGAGGAAAATTTAAGTGGAAGCTGAACAGCTTTATATAGACAGGGCTTTGATTCTTGATAAAATGACAGTTTATGTATAATCTCTAATGCTATAACATAAAATAGTTTACTCACTAGTCATTTAATTAAATCTGAATAATGATTTCACATAAAATATTCTTACTGAAATCCCAGCTGTCCCCCATGAGCAAACTATAAAATCACAGTGTACCCTTGTAACTTTTTAAATCTGTGATATAATTTTAATTTTAGTATTTATAAAATAATAATTAGGTCAAAGAGCTGTATTATTTGATAAGTTTAAAATTATCCTGAGTAAATTGATACGCTAAATCTTTGTATTCCACAATTAATTTTTCTCTTCTTCTTCTTTTTTTAAAGGGATTTGAAAGCTGGAAATATTCTTTTGGGCGAGGATGGTTCGGTACAAATAGCAGGTAAACGGATAAAGATAGACATTCTTTATTGTTTACAAAAATGTTACAGTTTCAAGGGGTGTAGAATGGTTCCTTGGAAATGAATAAATGCATGTAATCTGTTTTAAGAATGTATCTGGTTGCCCTGCTTTACACACATATATTTACAGAATGTTTGGGTCTGAGGCATGGCTTGTGTTCCTATTTTGATAAATCCTTATTAGATCATCCTATAAATAATGCCATTTTAGTATATAGCATTTTGATAAAGAATGATTTTACTTTCAATTTTATTATGTTTTCTACCTTTCAGATTGAATAATGGTGATGTTTATATAATCACAAGGGAAGCACTTTTGAAAAAATTTTTTTTTCAAATTGTGCTTTAGTTGAAGGTTTACAGCTCATGTTAATTTCTCATTCAAAAATTTATGCACATGTTGTTTTGTGACATTGGTTGCAGTCCCCGCAACGTGACAGCACACTCCCCCTTTGCACCCGGGTTCCCTGTGTCCATTCATCTAGTTCCTGTCCCTTCCTGCCTTCTTGTCCTGCTTTTGGACAGGAGTTGCCCATTTGGTCTCATATATCTGATTGAACTGTAAGAAGCACATTCCTCGTGTATTATTTTTTGTTTTATCTTTGTCTGAAGAGTGGGCTTTGGGAATAGTTTCAGTCCTGGGTTACCAGTGCATCTGGGGGCCATAGTTTTGGGGATTTCCTCCAGTCTCTGTCAGACCATTAAGTCTGGTCTTTTTATGTGAATTTGAGTTCTGTTCTATGTTTTTCTCCTGCTCTGTCCGGGCCTGTCTGTTGTGTTCCCTCTCAGGGCGGTCATTGGTGGTAGCTGGGCACCATCTAGTTCTTCTGGTCAAAACTTTGTACATTAATTAAAAACCTTTTATTTCTGAAGAGGTGGCTGAAAGAATTGTGCACTTTTAAAGTCTAGGACTTACTTGACTTTTAAATCTGACCTAACGTGGCTATTTTGGACTGTCGTAGGTTCATGGGTGCAGTGAGTGTTGAGTGAATGTGTCAGGCAGTGCTTCCATGCTCAGAGCCTCTCGTTTTATAACTGGTCTTAGAGTAACTGAGAGGCCTGGGGGAAGATGTAGCCACATCCATAGTAACTCTCATTTTACCCTATATCTGAGGAGGTCTGTCTCAGCAGTCCTTTTAGCCATCAGTGCTTCTCAATGGGGATGGCTTTGGCATTTTTGGTTGGACAGTCATTCCCTGTACTGGAGTGTTCCTCTCATTGTAGGGTGCTCAGACTCTGGCTTGCAGGTATTAAATATTAGCAGCACCTTCTGACAACATTCTTGGTGAGAATCACTGATTTAATTTCTGTTGTTGAAGAATGTTGAAGAGTTTGCCTCAAATGTTTAATCAACCTAACCTGCTTGTTTTTGAGTTGGAATGGGTAGAATCCTGTTTTCTAGCATAGGTTTCAGGGCTTGGAATATCTGAGTTATTAGGCCAAAGCCAGTCATAGTCCTTGGTCCCAGTTTTGTTTCTAGATGAGCCTGAGGATCTAGTGTTATTATTAGAAATGCAAAGGTTTATCAGAAAACAAATAAACCACCAACACAAAAGATAAGCTGTAAATATCTCCTTGACTCATTGTTTGCACCCCACCTCTAGGTGTCAAAAAACCTGTCAAATGATGCCCCTGGCCTGTGTGACAAGTAGGACAGTGACCTTAGACTCTGTATTTGTTGTTGTGTGCTGTCAAGTCATTTCTGACTCATACCGACCCTATATGACAGCGTAGAACTGCCCCATAGGGTTTCCTAGGCTGTAATCTTTACTGGAACAGATTGCCAGGTCTTTTCTCCCACAGACCTTTTGGTTAGTAGCCGACCGCTTAACAATTGCTTTACCAGGGCTCCTTTGGCTCTGTATTCAGTTTGGTGCATTTAAGGAGACTTTTAAACTTTTTTTTTTTTTTTTTTAAAGGAGGAAAAACATGTCTTGAACATACAAATGGGAAATTGGGAAATTTCTTTGAAATTAAATGTTTCTTCTCTGGAGAACAAACATTGAAATTGATATCCTTATTAGTTCTCCTCAGTGAAATGTTAGATTTAGTCAACTTCAGTAGCTGGTTTAGGGACACTGGGAAGGCAGTCTGTGTATCAGTTAAGCACAAATACTTTGTAATCAAACAGGCCTGAGTCACAAACCGCCACCTTGTTTTTTTTTGGTCTTGCTTTTTTTTTTTTTTTTTTAATTTTGTTTTATTGTTGTACTTT